ACCAAAAGCATTTGAGACAGGTTACTCAGCTTCATCAATTTGTGCAATTGCTAAGATTCCTGCCAGCTCTCTTCAACCTTACCTGGACGAAAACTTATACTGGCAGCTTAACATGGGGTGCAAGACGGTAGTGGGACGCATCTTAACCAACATCCAACTGTGCTCTCCGTCATGAGCTGTTTGCTTATTTTATGTTAATTGAACCGGCCCACAGCACAGAACATTTTGAAGTGCCTCGGTGATCACTGAGGAAAAAATATCCACAACGCAGACAGCAGTGTAAAGGATGCCTTTAGAAGGAACCTTTCTGAAGAATTTGCGTGCCCCTTTTTCCCTTTCCCTTGGAGCCGTTAGCCAGGCTCCTTCTGAGCTCCGGGCAGGAGAGCTCTTTCTAAGCACGAGCACCCAGAGGGGGGGGGGGCCCTCGCACCGAGCCTCCCGAGGAGTGACAGCCAGGAGCAGGGGGCGCTTCCCACGCTCCCGCCGCGCCTTGGGCCAGGCGGACTGGGTTCTTTTAGGACCCCCAGCCCGACCGCCGCACACCGGCGAGCTGGCAGGAGGGCGAAAGCCAGTCGGAAGCAGCCAAAAAAAAAAAAAAAGGAAAAAAAAAAAAAAAAAAAAAGAGAGAGAAAAATAAAGCCCGAACAACAAACACACGGCTCCTGGCCCCCTTGGCCGCCCCGCCGGACGGGCACCCCCCGCAGCCGCGCCCCCGCCGATCGGGTGCGAGCTCGGCGGCAGAGCCACCGACCTGCACCGCCCAGCCCCGCCCCATCCCGACCGGTGCCGGATGCACCCGGAGACTCCCGAGCTCCCCCCCCTGCTCCACCGCCCTTGTTCCTCGGGCGGGGACTCGCTTCCTTTCCCGACTCCCCCTTCCCACCCTCCTCCTCCTCCTAGTCAAGATGGAGGACGGTGGTTGCTGCGGCCGCTGGCAGTACGGCGGCTAGAGCAGCTGCTGCTCCTCTGGATCGCTCCTCGCTCCCTCAAAAAAAAAAAAAAAAAAAAAAGAAAAAAAAAAGAAAAAAAGGAAAAGAACAAAAAGGCTGGAAACGTTCCTTCTTTCTCCGCCCACCGGCTGCTGGCTGCGCGGACCGCTGGCCCTTCCCATGCCGTCGTCGTCGTCGTCGCCCTCCTCCTCCTCCTCCTCCTCCTCCTCCTGCGATTGTCTGCGTTCCGGCTGCCGCCCGCCCGCCCGCCCGGACTCCCTGCATGCACACGCCGCCTCCTAGGTGGCTGCGGGGGGTGGGCGCTCCTGGAGCTGCCATTCCGCACATACCTTCATGTCCCTACGCTCGCTGCGGCCGCCCGCCGCCGCCCTGCATCGCTCGCCCGCTCCGGCTGCCGCCCTGACGGCCGCTCCCGCCCGGAGGTGAAGCCGGGACCCGCGGAGGGGGCGGTGGGGTCAGCGGTGGGTCTCGCCCGGAGGAGCCACCGCCGCCGGCACACGCAGCAGCAGCAGCAGCAGGAGCAGCCATGAGCAGCGCCGCTACCGCCACCTCCGCCGCCACCACGGCCGGCAGCGGCGCGGGGGAAGGGGCCGAGGAGGCGGCCAAGGACTCGGCGGACATCGCGGCGTTCTTCCGATCCGGTGAGTGCGGTCCGGTCCCGGGGGAGCGGAAAGGCAGGGCCAGCGGCGAGACCGCGGCTGGAGGTAGCGGCGAAAGGTGGCCCTGGGCAAGCGACGTCTTCCCCGCGGATCCGGGAGGGCAGCCGGCTTTGTCAGGTGGCCTCGGGGAAGGCTCGCCCGCCCCTCGCTGACGGGGCCGCCTCGGCATTGCCCGTCCGTGCGGGGCGCCGCCGCCGCCGCCGCCGCGCTTCCTCGGGGCGGCGGCGGCGAAGAGAGCTGAGCCTCCCTAATCCCGTGCCGGGAACAGCGGGGCTTAGGCTCAGGCACTGCAACTCGCGGGCGGGACGCCACCCTCGCCAGGAGAACCGAGGCGTGAAAACGAGCGCGGTGGCGGCCCGGCCCGGCCGGGAGGGTGCGGGGCTGATGTTGCCCCGGGGCGGTGTTGCCGTTGACAGGTGCGACTCTGCCTCCGATGCCGGCCCGATAGCGGGCGCGTCACCGGGGCCGGGCGGCACCACACAGCGTCAGGCGGACCCGAGCCCCCCGAAAATGTCCCGCCGGGGGTTGCGGGCAGAGGACCCGCTCGGGTCCGGTAGCCCAGGGTGTCGAGAGGGCGGAAAGGGTGAGCGGGGCTGCGGGGCGCGGGCTGCGCCGGCCGGGCCCCCCGGGGAGGCAGGTGGGGATGACACCGCTATAAAAGGCAGCGCTCCGCCGGTGCCGTGCTGCTGGGTGGCGGCCCAGGGCAGGAGTGGGAGAGGGCAGCGTGGAGAGCAGATGTTACAGCGAGAAGGGAAAGAGGCAGACAAAAAGCGAAGCCCACTTTAAGAGGTGTCCCTGCCTTGGCTGAGGCGGGGCAGCAGCGGCTCTCGGGCGCTGCCGGGCTGGGAAGCCGGGCTGGGTGCGGAGGATCGGGTGGGGAAGGGGGGGGGGGGAGCCTGTTGACAGGCTACCGGGATTAAAAAAAAAAAAAATGGAGGCCGCCTTTTCCCTCAGTGTTTACTCTCGGCACACAACCGGGCGGGCAGGGCGGCTGCCCCCGCCGCCCAGACGGTGTCCCCGGGGCATAGCGGCGGGGACGGAGGGCAAGGCTGGACTGCCCGGGCCAGACGAAGCGCCATCGGGGACGGAGCCCTGCCGGTAGCCTGGGCGGCGGTGGCGGCAGCGGAGCCTCCCTCCGGTGCCGGCTGCCCTCCCCCGAGCAGCGGCAGCTCCTCCCCTCTCTCCGCTTCGCTCCGCCGGCGGCTCCGCGCCCCCCCGGGCACCCCCGGGCACCGCTCCCGGGCGGGGCGGCAGGGCTGGGCATTTGCTCCGTTGGGATGCCTAAAAAGGAGCGGCGAACAAGGAAAATGCAGACTCACCGCTGGAAAGATGAGGGCGATGGCCGATTTAGTGTCTGAAAAATAATAATGATGGCAGTAGTAATAATAGTAGTAAAAGCAGTGTTCATTGGGTTTTAAAGGAAGTCCGTGAGGGAAGTGGGAAACGGCGTAATCAGTGCTGCTCGCGGTCGGTGCATGCTGTTCGGTGTGTTTGATTTAATGAGAGCGAAGGAGGAGGTGTGATTTGCAGCAGACATCCCTGAAAGCCCTCGGAGCTGCGTTTCTGTGGACAGAGAGTCCGAACAGGGGGCTGTGTCCCCTCTGGAGGGCTTGATGCTCCCAAGGCAACCTGTTTCACGTGACAGCAATGAGTGTGAAGCTCCTTGTCGAGTCAAGATGCTGGCCTTGGTGGATTTCTTCTTGGAAGAAGGACTGAGCTTTATTGTTCTGAGGAAAAAATCCCGTTGAAAGCAAAATGACAGATTACAGTAGACTTAAACACAGTAGTTACAAATGGGTACTTGTGTAGTAATCTTGCAGTTTTGGAAGACCTTGCAAGCTATATTAATAGTCAACTTCCACGTTTGTGTTTCAGTATAGAGGGATGACATAAAGTTGATAAACTCGTAAGTGGTGTAGTGATGACTTCCAATGCTGAGACTTTTTGATAACGGGGAGGTTACGCTGATCTTATTCTTGCAGCGACCGAAAATCTTAAAGTAGTAGAAGGACATGTCAAAAAACTCTTAGAGCGTATTTAACAACTGACATTCTCATTTTTGTATTTGCTTGTGGAGACTATCTGGTTCGGCCTGGGCTGTGACATATGCTGGAAAATGTTCCGGCCTCTATTGTGGCTGTTTGGTATTGGGAAGAGTTCTTTGAATCCTGCCTCTGTACATGATATACTCTTTAATAAGGAAAGGGTCTGTTAAGAGATCTGCAGTGCTTCTCTTTGTTTGAACAGGAGGCACTTTTTTTTTCAGTGAAACGCAGTGGGCTTCGTGATCAGTGAACAAGGAAAAAACTTTGTTTGGTGTATAGGAGCAGACAAAATATTTTTCTCTCTACAGAATTTAAAATGACAAATGCTTCCTTTTTCCTGTCACTTGCAGAGAATATCATCAAAGCTGTATCTGTTACTTAAAAGAGAAAAAGAGTAAAAATGTTCCAACGTTTTCCAGAAGGGAAAAAACCTCAACCAAACCCAACAACAAAAAACCCGCCTAAACAATAAGTTCTAATTCTAGGTTAGTTAAATTGGTCAGTTGAGCTGCCAAGTGGGGTTATTGGCTTTCCTCCTGTCCTCTTGTAAGACTAAGTCGGAAATAGAATTAAAGTAGCCTGGAGAATGGAGTTCCATTATTTGGAAAATGTTTTGTTAGGATACTGAACAACAGCTAGGTTCACATCACTTGAAATGTGTGCATTTCCAGTTTTCACTTTGGTTATGTAAATGTAAACTCACTCTTGAGTTGTTGTGGAAATAAGTTGCAACTGAAATGTGAAGAAAGCAGCTGAACTAGAAGTGAGGTAGTAGTATGAACACATAAAGATTGTATGTCTTGAATATAAATGAGGAATTCCTTTATTGGAATGGGAAGATACTGAGACAGCTTACTTTCTGTTACCTGTTTGGTATCTAAATCTCATTATTTGAAGTTGAAAAGACAAAACCACCTTGTTAGATCTGTCACTTTCTTCATGGCAGGATTAAGAGTAAAACTACTAAGAAGCAGAATTTAGTGCCAGGCAAAGTGATTACACTTTGACAGAGAAAACACAATAGTTGTAGGAAGTACATTTTTCTTAATGTAAGCTTAATGATAAGAGAATTTAAAGCTTTGGTTTGAGGTACATGTGTATAGGTACCAAAATGTCCATGTGAGTATTTTAGGAAAATGGGGTGCTGAGATTTGTTGTGATTATGGACATTAGAAGACTTCTTCAAGTACTACTAGTGACTTGAGACTTGAATCAGTCTGGGTTCAACCAAGTCTGCCTATAGCAGCCTAGGCTGATAATTGCTTGAGTAGTTGAGACCTTATAGGAAGTATTAATGAGTGTTGTGAAAAGATGATTGATTTTCTTTTTTTTTTTTCTCTTAAATAATGATCTTGTGGTTTGCTTAGTTTTCATGAACATCACTGAACAAATGATACCATAAAGATAAAAAACAACAGATCTATTTGAAAATGTGTTGCTTCAAGTTTACAAGGAGGACTTATGTTTTATTTCTTCCTAATTATATTGCTTTGTAATCGGTTGCCTAGCTTGCTTTACATTAGTGTCCTGTGTGATAGTGGCTGGGATAGTTGACTGCCTGTAGTAGACAACATTAAAAATGCTACCATAGTAGAGAAAGTCTCCTAGAAAGAGGGAAAGAAGAGAGGGTTGGGAAAGATTACATGGAAAAGAAAAAGAAAGCATATTATTAAAAGAGCAGCAAGTTTTTTCATGAATACTACTAATAAAAAACACACTCGCTTTTAGATCATGGGCGAAGTAGCTTTCGTATTAGACACCAAATGTGAAAAACAAGCCCAGTTTCCAGCTTAAATCCATGAAGCAGAACACACGATCCATAAAGTTAAGATAGTGCCTTTCTAAGAGCATTCATCCATCTCCTGCTGATGTGTATTAGCTAATTTACAGAGAAGGTAGTCAGACCTGTGGTTGTTGCTTACTTGGCGTGACAGAGTAGCTACAGAGTACTGACAAGTGTCTTAACAAAAACAATCTAGTAGTGAAGCCAAAAGTGAAGTTTTGGCAGGCAGCACTGGTGGTACCCCATATGATAGCTCCATGCTGTCCTCTGAAAGTATTGGTTCTTGTCCCTGTGGCTGTCAGGAACTGAGGGGTGTTTGGGAGTTTTAAGAAGTGGTGAGCATGCAGAGTTTTTAAAGTATGAAAGAACTTGTCCATTCTTTCATGCTACTTTGAGTGATGACAATATTTGTATTAAAAAAAGTAAACACCACAAAAAATTTAGTGTTGTGTCAGCTTTTCAAGAATCTGTTAGTTTGTCCTTTGAGTTGCTTGAGGAAGCGAGAAGGTTGCAGCAGTGTTGCTGTCATTAGTGCCAATTGACCTGGGGTGAAGAAGGAATGGGTCCTACTGTGAAGTTTTGAACCAATTCCGGAGGCATATATTTTAATAAGATGGTTAAAGTGACGTGAGGGGTGTATGTATGCACATGATGTTTTGAAAAACACCATAGAAAAATGTCACAACTTGATAATTCTGATGTGCATATGCAGAGCAAAAATAACTACAGAAACAATGAAGTTACAATGGGGAAGTTACTCTGGGAATAGTGTTGTTGGATGGATGTTCCCTGGGACAATGAAGAATAGGATGGAGAGCTTCAGTGTGAAATGCAGCAGCTGTTGTGTAACTTGTCTTAGTGTGAAATAGCCAGACTTTTCTGGGGATAACCAAGGATAGAGGAAGTTAGAAGTTAGGGGATGTTTGAAACAATCGGAGGCAGAAGTCCTAAATATTTCTACAAGGGGACAGCTATCCATGATAGCTGACAGTTGATAAACTATACATTTGAAGTGGAAGGTAAATGGGAGTTAGAGAGCCAGGTCCATTCTTGGAAGGAGTACGTTTTAGCTATGAAATGCAGATGTGCTCAGAAAGAAGCTGACAAAAGTAAGACTAGATTTGGTGCAGCTGAGGCTTTCATTAATTGAGGAGCTCAGTCACTATGTAGACAAGATGGGTAGTAAATATTTTTTAAAGAAGTGGTTTCTCCCCAATTAAGCATGTCCCACAGCTCTTAAGTTTCTGTCCCACAGAAACAGGTATGAATTTAAACCTGAAATATCATGTGACTTCCAAAAGCTTTTGCGTGTAAAATCACTGTCTAGGTAAATAAAACCTGAAGAAAGGCTGGAAAGACTTCCCTTACCCCAGTATAAAGAGAAAATATTAGTTTTTCTCTTCTCTTGTCAACAAATAGATATGTTTAGATGCAGACTGTTAGGTCAGTTTATTAATAGGGTGAAACTGCACAGTGATTTTTGGTCTGCAGCTTGAAGGAGGTGAGATCACTGAAATAGCTGTTCATGGTCAGCAAAAGTTAAAATAGTAAAGACGTGTTGAAGCTTTGAAAATGCAGTGATGGCTGAAGGTATTTGTCTGAAAGTGGATGATGATTTTAAAGAGAACAAAGAAAAATTTTTCTGCTTGATGAGAACTAAGTTTAATCTTAACAAAAAGGCTACTAGGTAAAAAAACCAAACAGAACAAAACACAAAGGTCATAGCAGGCAATTTGAATCTAAGGAGTAAAATGGTTACATCTATTTGATTGTTCTCGTAAAGAAATTGACTTGTTTTGGAGAGGGATCTTTGTTTAACTTAAGATTTTTCTTGATGCGGTGAAAGCAAAAAGTAGACTACTGGTGAAGTAATACTGATGATCTGCAAAGCTGAGTCATATTCTTTCAGGAAGGATACTGCTGTTTTGAGAAAACAGATCACTTATCCAGTAGTGAGTAGGAGGAATTGAAATGACAGGGAACAACTCAAGTGCTTTTAGCAGTAGACACTACGGCACATTAAAGCATCTGATTTTCAGCCTCTAGAGTAGGTTGTTGTATTGATGCACAAAGAGGAGGGTCATAAATGAGTTGTGTCCACAAAGTTTCACCAAACAGCACAAATGACAAGATTATGCTTTAAAGATATAAAGCCCTTTCCAGTGGCTTTTTTGCCAAATAGCTGCTCTAATTCATCTGAAATAGCCTAATTGTCTTTGTGCATTTATTTAAAAAATAGGGTTGTTTTTCAGGGCTGTTGAGTGGAGTCTTCTGAAATCATTTAGTCAAATTTGTTTCATCTGCTATGTTACAGCTATGCATAAATGGCAGTACCATCGGTTAATAAAAAACACTGCAAATATGTAACAGGTTTTCCTGCTGAGCAGTGCTGAACTGTGTCTCTTGCTGGTCTTCTGAGTGTGATATTTTGTAATCTGGACCTTACTGAAGAACAGAAATAAGCATTACTGCTTCATAATTATGATTTTTTTTTTCCTTAAGAGGACAAAGGAACCTTTACAGGAGGATGAGAAAATTCCTTTTATTGTCTTTCTAAGATGTTGAGGAGGCAAGTTGTAAAGTATAGGAAGAAAAGTGTAGGCTTCCAGCATT